ACAGTGTCCGAGGAAGGCTTGTTAGAGCAGCCTTTTTATAGGAGAAATAAGTTCTTTGTGGGTATCCCCTGTTCTTGATGAGAGATTTGTTGCAGAAAAACATTTTCAGCTTCAAGATGGGAGTACCTGGCCAGAGAAGTGGGGATGGGAGTGCATGTTTGCACAGAGCCTGCAATAGCTCTGGGAATGCCTGCTTGGGCCAGTAGGGATCATGCTTTGCTTCACAGGTTGGAGATATTAAAGTGCCCATGAATTCAGCCAAACAGTGGCACGGGCCTGACATAAAACTAGAAGAAAGCCTGAAAGCACTTGTAGTCACTGTTCTGGGGGTCTGTGGTCATTTCAGTAGCAATATTTTTCCCACCCTTACCAACGATTTCTAGTGAGGCAAAAAATACCACGCTTGAATCCCTGATAGAAGGATGTTTTTTGCAAAACTGCCAGACGCTTACTTTTAAAAATTTTTTATCACCCTCTCTCAATGAACATTGCAACAATAACAGTACATTTACTGGTCTGTGAGTCCAATAATTGCAGAACTATTACTGGTTTACAGCCATTCCCCTCTTCCCCCCCACCCTTTTTTTTTTTTTTTTTTTTTTTAAGGAACAGGGCTGTGGTGTAGCATCAATCTTCAAATGTTTGCATGTCAAACCTCTAGCATTGTGGTGAAAACATTTTCTGATTCTGTTGACTTCCTCTTTTGTAATACTACCTTTGCAGATCCCTTGAAATTATTTCTGTTTCCCTGCAGATTGCTGGTCGGAGCTCCTCGGGAAAAGGCCTTTCCATCCCAACAAGCCAATAGAACAGGAGGGTTGTACAGCTGTGACATCACATCTCAAAACACAGACTGCAAACGTATCAAATTTGATGAGAAGAGTAAGTTCTTTGGTGCTTTTGCTTTGGATTAAAACGCTTGTCTGATTTTTCTTATTTGATGTTCTTTCCAGAGGCTGTGTGTCTGACAGTTGCTTCTGTGGATTTATACTTAACATTTTTTGCATCAGAATAAGTTGTACCTTAAATGCTAAGATAGCTTGAGATGCTTAAATCCTGGTAGATTTGGATGTCCCTATTCTTTCATGAATTGATGTGACATAATCTGCTGGAAGTGTTTAATATGGATGTTGTCAGTGATAATATGTACAGACAGTGCCACCTGCAGACTGTCTCATGTACTGTATGAAGTGCCTGTCCTGACAAGGACTTTTAAAAAAAGACAACAAAGTAGTAGGTAACTGTTAATATTTGAAGCTGTGTTATGATACTCTGCAGCTGACCCGAGGATCGAGAGTAAAGAAGACCAATGGATGGGTGTAACTGTCCAAAGCCAAGGACCAGGAGGAAATGTGGTGGTAAGTCTAAAGGACTAACTTATAAAAACATTTTCGGTCTACAGTAAATGTTCTGAATGGTTTGTGTTTCTGTGCAGCTTTCTGAAAGGTAACTTTGCTATGCTTAGTCCTGTGTTTTCTTGTAAGAAAGATGTCTTCCTGGCAAAGAAAGACACTTGAGATTGTAAAAGCTTTTTTTTTTTTTTTTTCTAACTGTGAGTTAGCCTGTCTTTATAATCTTTGTAGCCATCTAGAATGGACAGTTCATTTTCAGAGTGTCCACTTATTTTTTGTTTCTTTTAAATACCACTGGTTACAGAAATAGGGAAAAATAGCGTGATAGTTGTAAAAATAGCACGCTACAGCCTGTTTTCCAAGATGATCAGCCTCATGTTAACTTTTATCAGGCACTTTGGCTGAACTGCTTCTATGAATTAATGTGGCCATTGCACTGCAGTAGGCTACTAGCTAGTCTTTATTTTATACAATACAGAGATGTTCTTTATTTTATACAGAGAGAAAAAGCCAGGAGTTACCAGAGTGTGTTACTTTTTTAGCTCTTCCTCAGTTAAATAAACCACTAATGGTGCTGCAGGATACCAGCTACATCATAAAATGTGTGTGCAGTGGGGCTTCTGCATCTAATTCTTGCAGGTTAATGCCATTGATTCCAAAAGTAGAGGCAGGTGACTTCAGGGTGTGAATCTGAAGTTATTATTGCCTGTATGTCCTTAAATAACTTGCTTCAGTCTGCTTCAGAACCCAAAGAGGGAAAGAGCAGATGGAAAGAGTCCTGCTGGTTGAATAGTTAATCATCAACTAATGCTATGGTGTCTTTTCTGAGAAGGAACTTTTCCTTTTTAGTGACAAGTGGGAAATGCACTTATTAGATGAGGTGTGGGCAGCCTGAATGTCACTGTGGAGCAGGGCAGCACTGCAGTGCTTGAAGTGTGGAGCAGCTGGGTGTTTGTGTAATGTTTAAGCCTTGGTAGGAACTACAGAAAAGGTGTTTCAGCTGAGAAATCTGGCTTGTTTGTGCTCTTCACACACTTACTACCTCTGGTACTGCAAAAAATGCTACTGGCAAAGGGGTTTGATTGTTGCACCTCTTTTTACAGTGGTTTGGTGGTTACACCAAACCCATATAACACTTAATCCAGTGGCTAGTCGTCCTTTATGTTAAATATTTGACTGGAATTCTGTTCCCAGGTGAACAGTCTAAAAGGTTAAGGAACATGTTATGCTCAGTGCTGCTGCTCTGTCCCAGTGACAGTTATCCTGTAAGTGGAACATCCAATACAGGAAGTAGGAACAACTTCCTTCCCCTTCTGAATAGTCTCTGGTAGATGGTAGTTGAATCAGCATCTTGTCTATGTTCTGCACAAGCGTGTAAACCGTTTAACTGACAGCTGTGGGGAAACAGGGTCACTTCTTTCCTCGCGTCTTGAAAGGGAGGGAATTAGGTATCAGGGAAAACGTTAGGGCTAACAGTCTTAAATCCCACAGGCAAGAGGCCGTGTGGCCTTCCTTGACCGTGAAGCTGGTTGCTCTGACTTGCATCCATAGGTACCCAAATTTTGCCATACATTGCCCATAGGGAACAGTGGACTCTGCATTGCAGCCTGGATGTGTCTCCAAGGTGACTGTTTTACAGCATTACTAGCATGAAGTATTGCTAAAGGGGACCAGCCTTCTTTGATGACTTGCATACAAACATACAGAAAGCGTCACTTACTATTTCTTCTATCTTGCAGACATGTGCACATCGCTATGAGAAAAGGCAGTATGTAAACACAGTGCAGGAAACCCGGGATATCATTGGAAGGTGCTATGTGCTGAGCCAGGATCTCACTATTAAGGATGATATGGATAATGGAGTATGGAGTTTTTGTGATGGTCGTTTAAGAGGCCATGAGAAGTTTGGTTCCTGTCAGCAAGGTGTTGCTGCTACTTTTACTAGAGACTATCATTATATTGTGTTTGGTGCCCCGGGCACTTACAATTGGAAAGGTACGACCTGGCTTCCTTCCTGCCTACCCTTCCCGTTTCCTCTGAGATCGCTCACAAGGGCTGCATCCTAAGATTTAATTTTTTTTTTTTTTTGGAGGGTGGAGGGGATAATAGGGATCTAATGATTTTACCTTGCTTTCACGAAATGCTATGCTCCTGTATCAAAAGTATTTACTGAAGTTCCTTTAAATATCCTTGAGGGAGTGCTTATGAATAGATACTGCAACTTTGCACTTATGTACAGCAAATTTTTACCTTATTAGTCTTAATCTTATGGTGGGATTAAGTGCTTGCTTTGAGACTTCCATATTGGAACAAATTACTAAATTATTTTAAAGTTATTTGACCAACCTTTTTCTCCTGCATTTGAGCAAATGTTAGATAGCTTCAGTGAGATCGTTGTTACCCTACAGTATTCTCCACTTCATTCTTTGTGTAATTTGTGGAAAGTAGTACTTCCCACATAAAATACTGAAGGATTGCAGGAAGATAACTGATCAGAGCAATACTACATGTATTCATATCTAAAGCTATTGATATCCATGTAAAATTGCATGAGTAATCTGTCTGACTAAGAGCCAAGTACTCCGTATCATCTAGGCAATATTCCAAAACTTAAGGGAAAAAAACCCATAGATTTCTATCTGTTAGTTTATATTGAGAAGCATCTAAATGGCCAGCTCTGTCCCTCTTTCTTAAAGTGATTTTCTCGTCACGCTTCATTACACCAACAGCTGTAAATACTTCCCTCTTTAGAACATCTGATTCTTGAACCATTACATTTTTCCCCTCACACACCTGTGCCTGCTATACGAACCATGCAAAATCTTTGAGTTAAGCTCTGGCACAAGGTGTACTTTAGTGAAAACTTAATCTTCTACATATCTGTCAACAAAATCTGACCAAGCTGAAACAGCATATTGAGTTCAGACACTGTTTTACTTTAATTGCAGAGAAGTGCTATGGTAGTATATCAGTTGTAAAAGTACTCTTCTGCTTGCCAAAATGTTAAATAAGCCTGTTCATAAAAAGGAAGCACACATTTTATCGAACAATAACTCTTAATGTTTTCTAAATATATCACTGGTGTTTGTTGTAGCTGAACATTAATTTTTTTTTTTTGGTATTCCTGTGTATACTTCCATGCCTTTTAAGAGAGGCTTTATGAGGTTAAGAAATGTGGGATGAAGGTGGTTCCTGACCAAGCTGGTCCCATGTTTTTCTTGAGAATTTTCTTAGTATCCCATGTTTTCCAGATCATTGTGTGGCCTCTCTGTGGAGTAGCACGAGATTCTGGCACACAGAACTTAAGAGATTCATTGTCTTTTGAAAACGCTATCACCAAGTGCACTATTCTGTGTTTGTCCCATTTAAACAGCAGTCACTCTTTCATTCATCGTAATTAATGTTAGCTGGGAACCATTTATCTGTTATTTTTCTCCCTTACCATTCATTTGCTTTTATTTTATCATTTCATTTCTTCAGGGGTGGTTCGTGCTGAGCAAAAGAATCAGACATTTTATGATCTGGGTATCTTTGATGATGGGCCTTACGAAGTTGGTGATGAGAGCCGCCAAGATAAGAATCTAGTTCCTGTTCCAGCTAACAGTTACTTAGGTAGGATTAAGTACGTATGGTAAATCTCTTTAGGCTTCTTAAACTTTTGTGATCTCAGCTTGGTGCAATGATAGAAAATGGGAGCAGAAAATCCTTCATTTGTGGACCCTGTAACATGTTAACCATTTTGGATAATTCACATCTCCATCCGCGTTTATGGGCCAGTTTTAAGTGTAAGATGAGACTCTGCTGAGGCACCTGGAAGAGCTGCTAATGTAATGAGAGATTAAAGAGCTGTGATGAGGACCTACTGATTCTCAGGGAGTGATTCTCATCACTCTAATAGTGAAGTACAGCCTATGGATCTGTAGTCCTTAGTCACACGGTCTCAGCCATGTGGTATCAGAGAGTTTATCAAAATTTGAGTTTCTGGATGTCACTGTTAAGACTGCAGTTTCCCTCTCCTGGTAGGTGAGTGCAATTTTTTTTATTCTTCAAGTTTTTACAGGCCTTTAAACTGCCATAATGTGAGTAATGTTTATATTTTAAGCGTGTTCACATTTTCAGTGTGTGTGTGCATTGCTGGGGGTGAGTCTCTTGCACTTTGTCCTTAGGCTGGTGACGTTACTGTACACCAGTGAGATAGGCTGGTGCAGAGAAAAGGCTACGCTCCATTTTTGGAAGGGCCTCAAGCGTAAAGAACCTTTCAGTTCTAGCACAGATAACTGTGGTGTACTGGATCCGCTGCTTTTGGCACAAGCAACAAATACAGTTTTGGTAACTTGAAACTGGAATTTCTGTGTGAGTAGTGGGAAGTTGAACAGATGGGAAGGGCATTGCTAATATAAAAAGTAAAAGTAAGTCAAGAGAAGAGCCAACCTAGAGGTACGTATTTTTTAGAAGAAATAGAACATAAACTCCCGTTAAGTATCAGCAATAATTACTGGATGTGAAAAAAATAAATATCGTAAGAGCTTATGTTAGAAAGAGAAGCTGCAAGCCTGTTCCGGTGAAATAAAAATTGGTGAAGTGAGAAGTGTCTGGGGAGGTGTCTTTTGCTGTGAACAGAGTAATACTGACTTTTTGCAGTTTCATAACAAATGCATTTATCTCCTAAATGTAAATGCTGCCTTTGATTTGTCACAATCAGAACTTCGTCCAGGCAAGCTTGCTGTTCCCTGGCATTGCTGTTCCCTCTCTTTAGACAGTAAATAAACATGGTTATAGCTGCTTTGCTTAACTGCTGTTTTTTTCTCTTCAATCTTTCACTCGTGTTTACAGGTCTTCTATTTTTGACAGCTGTATCTGATACTCATCCAGATCAGTTTGTATACAAAACACTGCCCCCCAGCATACAGGTGGACAAATCGGTGGATGTAATGATGAATAGCTACTTAGGTTTGTGACCACTTCAGGTGGCAGCATCTGGTCAGACATAATCTCCAGACCTTTGACATGATCCTATCCCCACCATCCCCCTCATCTCAAATGCATTGCAAGTAAAAGCATGTAAAAACAGGGATTCGGATGAAGAGCAGCTTGCAAAGTAACACTGCTTCAGAGAAACACTGATTTGTCATGCATCTCTCCAGACCCTCTCATCCTTCCCCTAGATGGGACGCACAGATTTTTTTCTAAAACTCACTGTGAATTGCTGTAATTGAGAATTTTCATAGTAGTGGTGAAGTGTTTCTGAAGGAAGGTTTCTATCTGTTGGCTAGTGTCTGTCTTCTTGTAATGCGTGTAATTTTCTACTTTGGCCTTTATTGGATATGTTGGTATATACAGTATGTTCTTTTGACTCAATTTTTCATACTTTTAAAAATGTATTGACTTTGATAAAGAATACATAAGATTAAATTAATTTGAACGTGTCCTTTAGGGCTGCATTAAATCAAAATCACCAGTTTCACCATTACTGTGTAAGGTCATTCTCAAATACTGTATATGTCATTCATGTAAAATACTGTGCTTGTGCAGTACATGTTGCATGTTTGCAATAGAATGATAGTGACTCGTATTTAGGAAGTTTTATAATAATTTTGCCAGATGTGAAATGTTCAAGCTATATTCAAGTGGTAAGGTGGAGTCAGTTCTCAGCTGGTATGTTTTAAACTGGTCTGGTATTTGGTGTCTGTGAAAAGTAGATATGAGTGAGCAATGAAATAATATGTTTGTGGGGGAAATACTTAAATGAGATGGGTGGAGGAGTGTAAACTTGTAAACGTGTCTACCAGTCCAAATAGAAATGGGGAATTCCCAGTATATCATACTCTGTTTTAGAGAAAAACTTCGATTCAATATACCACTTTAATATAGTAGGGGAATTAACAACACAACCTGTTTGCTTGTTTGTTTATATTTTATTGGTTTCTCTGTTAAAGGTTTCTCTTTGGACTCTGGTAAAGGAATTGTCTCCCAAGATGAGATGACTTTTGTGTCTGGTGCCCCAAGAGCCAACCACAGCGGAGCAGTTGTTTTACTGAAAAAAGAGAAAAATCAGAGAGCACTTTCACTGGAGCACATGTTTGAAGGAGAAGGACTGGCCTCTTCCTTCGGCTACGACGTTGCTGTTGTGGATCTCAACAATGACGGGTATGGCCTCGGTGAACTCTTGCTGCCTGTACAGTGGAGAATGGCAATCTGGCTTATTTCTGATTCGGTTTTTCGCATTAGAAATACACGGAATGCCAAATCCCATCCTCCATCTTTTGCTGGAGGAAACGGCGGCATCTCAGAGAACCAGTCAGGACACAGTCTACATTTCTAATTATAGAAAAAAGTTTATTTAAATTTAAACAGTTAGTATAAACAAATCTCATACCCAAACAAGACCCTAGAAGATCTTGGGTGTCACAAAGGGAATATAATCAGCTTGTACTATGAGTGGAGCTGTTGTTGCTCAACCAGTTTAATGTACTTTTTGTTCAGCAGCTCTTTGGCCAGCTGACCCTCAGACCACAGTCTCATCACTTATTTTTCACAGTACATCTGTAAAAGCACTATTTTTTTTTTTTTCCTCTTTAATTTTAAGATGGCAAGACATTGTTGTTGGAGCCCCGCAGTATTTTGACAGAAGTGGAGATATTGGTGGTGCTGTGTACATCTACATTAACCAGCAAGGCAAATGGGAAGGAGTAAAACCCATTCGCTTAAATGGAACCACTGACTCCATGTTTGGTCTCGCAGTTGAAAATGTTGGGGACGTTAATCAGGACGGGTATCCAGGTGAGTGAAAAACTATTATGATAAAACTGTATGTGACTTTTTTGCTAATGCCAGACTTGGAACATCTTACCCTTACCGTGACTGCAAGCTGCAGAAAGAATAAGAATGATTTTAGATGTTGCAACTTATTTTCAACAGATATTGCAGTAGGGGCTCCATATGATGGCTTTGGCAAAGTCTACATTTATCATGGATCCAAGAATGGAATAAATACAAAACCAGCACAGGTAATGAAATAACCTTTACAATATACAATTAGTCTTGCACAAAATTAAAGGAATGACAGGACTATCCGACTTCTCCCTTTCCATTACTATTGGTGGGGTGGTGGGTATGCAGAAAAGTCACAGGACCCTTCAAAGATTACACTGCTCAACAGAAAGATTAGGAATTCTTGACTTTAGTAGACATTTTTCTTCTGGGGCAGTTCTTTGGCACCAGTAACATATAGAGAAGGAAAAAGGCATATAGATGTGCAAGTTTTGTTTTTTTGAAAGAAATTTGGGGATTTGAAAATAATTATTTTCTTCATTTTCTCTTTCATTACTAATACTTCACTTTCTTTTTTAATTAAAAAATGTTTATGCATTTTTCTTTTTTTCTTGAGAACCACTCTATTCAGTTTGCAAGGTGAGAAATAGAACCTTGTTATCCTAGAATAGCTAGAATACTTTCTAGAATACTTTTTCAGTTTCAAGTGCCTATACTACATAAATACTATAAATAAAGATAAGCTAGGCAACATTTCTATGCAAAAGAGTAATTTCTGGTAGCTACTGTGATTGCAAAGTAACTTACTGGAAGAGAATCAAATCATCTTGGCGTTTCAGTGTCATTTACCTGAACTCTGCAGTCCTATCCCCTTGTATCTCCTCTCACTCGCGCCCCTCCCCCTGGCCGTAAGACAATGTTCACTTATTACTTATTTCACTTTTGTAGCTTTTAAATGCCTGAATTCCCTCAATCTGTTTGCTCTTTAGATTCTTGACGGTGAAAAAACAGGCACTAATTTCTTTGGTTACTCCATTGCTGGAAACATGGACCTGGATAAAAATTCCTACCCTGATATTGCTGTTGGTTCCCTTTCAGATTCTGTGGCTGTGTTCAGGTATTATATACAGAACTGTAATCACACCAAGGGTTTGGTTTTAGTTTTTGAAAAACAAGCTGCTCAGAAGTAACATAAAGCTGGCCTGGAGTGTATTTTCCCTTCTAGGAGTTGGAAATTCGGGGGGGGTGGGGATTCCATAAATGGGTTTGTTACCTTATAGCCTGCTCCTCAGTGAGAAGCTGCCTTATCCTATGGATAGAGGGAGAGGGTCAGTGGGCAGTTACTGTGGAGTGCTGATGAGTGCAGTGTCTGTCCCCTTGCTTTGCCCTGTGGCAACTTACTTGGATGCCCGTGCCCTTTGATGGAATTAAGGGTGATAAGTAATTATTTTACCCAAAGAAAGGGGAAGTTAACTGATACATTTGCTAGAGCTTTTGTTTGCTGCTGTTACGTACATCTAATCCTACTTTATTGACAATAGAACCAAACCAAACCCCTCTTGTAGCCGAGGATCCGAAAGCAGTGAGGCATATGGCCTTGCTGAGGTTGCACTGGGGTCCACGGGACAGCTGTGAGGAAGCCCTGCAGATAGATCCTTCTGGATTTCTGTAGCACATGCCTTAGTTAGGGAGGAGGCCATGGTCTTTTGCAGACTTGTACTGTTTTTCCTAGTTCAGTGTAGTGTTAAGTTGAATCACCAGTAATGTGCAGGAAGAGGACTGTCTCCTCCTCAGAGCTGTGAATGCTGCATCAAGTCTAGGTATTTAGTGGTGGCTGTCAGGTTCCAAAGGAGGAGGAGCAGAAACACCAAAATTGGTTATCTCAATTTTGAGGTTAAAAACAACTCTACCTTTCAGGCAAAATTATCTTTCCTACAATTTTTTGATGATCCTATCTCTGAGACGTGTAGTATCTGTGTACATAATTGGAATATTCATAAATGCACTGAAACAGCATCCAATAAAAGCAACTCATATTGCTTATGGAAGAGAACAGAGTAAGTGGATGGGAAGTTGGTTAAGTGTTCTGCTTATTCAAAAGGTACTTTAATTATTTGCTGATAAGAATAGTACAAAAACTTCACAAAGGTGAAATGAAAATCTTTATGGTGATGAACAGTGAAAGGGGAAAAGGAGGAGGTGGCTTAATGGCCATTTTAGACAACCTTAGATGCTTCACCGCCAGCAGGATCAGCTTGTCCATTTGTTCATGTGAACTGTCTTTTCTTGTCCTTTCCACAAAGGAAAAGAAAGGAAAAGTTGTCAGACTGAATTATGGTTACAGCCTACACGCAGAGGAGTCAGGAAATGAAAACATAATTTCCCACAGCCACCCAGGCTCCACATTAAAGCTGTTGTGAACATTAATTTGAATGCACTTCAGTACCTATGGTTGTTCACAGGGGCTGAATTACCACTGGGGTGGGCCATCACTTTGAATTTTCTGTTTTTTTCACAGGTGTATAAAATGTCAATCACAACATCGCATTAATGTACCCCGCTTCCCTGTCAGGCATTTAATCCAACTGTAGTTGGTTTTTGTTAAGTAGTTTTCTTTTGTTTCTAACCATTATGAAAGCCAAACTCTTGTGTTTCTTGGGGTGTCTTCGTTGCAAATCAGTGCAGGCATGGAGGGCATCTGGGATTCACGTGAATTATTTCATTAATTTTAACAGAAACTTTTCCTTCTTTTTTTACCCCTTCTTTTCATTCCCCATTTTTCCCCCAAATGAAGGTCTCGACCTGTGATAAGCATTAGAAAAAGCATTACAGTACAGCCTGACAGAATTGATCTAAAGAAAAAGAACCCTGAGGACCCTAGTGAAATATGGTAAATATGAAAAAAAAAAAAAAAGTATTATATCAGAAGGTGTGGTATATTGAGCTTTCTGTTGTCAAAATTTGTTCAGTCAGTGATGATGTTAAAGTGAAGGGATATGACAGTCATGCAGGTTAAGAATTTTGACTTCCTGAATTTGTGACTACTGTGCTAAACACAAGGTGTAGAATATGTTCTGTTCATACTGGCCCTTTTTGGAAATGGATGTCACTTTGCAGCTTAAGACTTCTAACACTTATAAGTATCTTAACTTGAACAGCTTTTTCCTGAGTAGAGATGTAAGAGCAAATGCCAGAAAATATTTTTTCTAATTACTTATTAGCCATTTTTTTTTTTTGTAATTCAGTTTAGTAAGCAGCAAATCACTGTTCTAGCATGAAAACCACAGTCATAAGACTGATAATATCAATCAATGGACTATTAAAACTTTTCAGTCTGTTGGACCATGCCTTATTGAAGTTAATATTAATTTCTTGACACTTCTTATAGGATGGATGTGAAAGCATGTTTTCAATATACTGCAAACCCCAGTGATTTAAATCCAAGAATAAGTAAGTTTTGAAGATAAATTTTTTTATCTGTTTGTCACGTGGTTTATTCTTTGTTGTTTCTTTAGAGTGTATCATGGAAGAACAGTACTCAGATTATTGTGACTCATCTCAGACTGTGACTCTCAGATTTAAAAAGTGACTCAATACTGAGGCAGATCAGCTACTCCACTATCTGATTTTAGAATAACACATATTTAGAGTCGTGTTGGTGTGTTAGGAAGTTCTGTGGATGACAGACTGAACTGAAGGTGTCTAGATAATCTAACTGCCAGGGAGCAAATGGCTGCCATGCAGATCAAAAACATTTTGCCTCTTTAGGCTACTGCTGCTTTAGAAAATAGTTTTAAAAGCTCATTTTGTATATCATTAGTAAGCATTATTTCTTATTGGAGACTTACCCTGTAAATCAGTATTCTGAATTAATGAAAATGGTTTTATGGAAATCAGTAACTGAAAATAAAAATCTTTGTATTAATAGGAACGTGGAAGACCGTGCCATACATATAGCTAAAACTGTAAAGCATTAGTTTCTCAAGTCTCCTGTTTTTTCTTGTTACAATGCTGCTGTTACTACAGGTCAGGAAACTGTGCAGGATCTTGAGAAGAAATGAGAAGAATTTTAAGCCCACACCACCTTCTCCTGCTGTGTTTTCTTGAATTTCTCAGTTGTAAGATGCGTAGTCTGGCACACAGGCTGTTCCCATTCTTGCAACACTGAATTAGCTCAGTGAATACAGAGATGATTAAAAGATGCAGAGTTCAGATCTATCAAAACACACTTCGACATCAGCTAGAAAGCTCTAGTCACAGTCTTGCTTTCAGTGTTAAAATTAAACTTCAGAATCCTGCTGGCTGCTTAGGTGCTATTTGGTACAAAACAGAACTCGAGGACAGCTGAGTGGGAATACTTACAAAGTTTTGTAGCTCAGCCCTCTGCTGGCTCCACAGCAGCTACTGCAGCTCCTCCCACCAGCTCTGCAGGCTGGAAAGGTAATGGAATACTTCTGGAATAAAAGGATTTGGTTTAGAAGTTTCTTCCAAATACATGCACGGGGCACCAGGCCCTCAACTGGAGAGAGAGAAAACGGACAGATGGAGAGTTGTATAAATAACTGAAAACAGTTTGTGAAGCCCAGCGCTGGCTGAAACAGTCTGTAGAATAATGTTGTAAGACGGCACCTGATGAAATCAGAGTCCTTTTTAATAAGGTAAGGGATCTTTTTTCATAATGACCTAACTTTATTTCTTCATAGAGATCAACTATACGTTTGAAGCGGAGAACGAGAGGAGGCAGTTAGGCCTGCCCTCTAGGGTACGGTTTAAAGACCACCTCTCTGACCAGTTTACTGCAAGTACAACCCTAATACGGCAGAAGGCAGAAGAGTGTGTGTCAACAAAGCTTGTACTGCAGGTGAGGCAGAGTATTTTATTTTTATTTCACTTAAATCCCTATAAAACGAAAGCATGCTCTTTTTTTCAGCCTCACCATACCTTTGTATAGAACTTAACTCACATGCAATATAAAGCTTCAAAACTAGAAAACAACCATAGTTAAGTAGTACCTTATAATTCCCTGCACACACGCTGCTTCCTCCTGTTGCCCTTCTTACAAAGAATGAATAAAAGTCGTAGCCGTTGCAGCATGCTCTGGAGGTCAGTAGAGCTGGACGAATTTAGAACAATACAGAGGGAATAAATGCCAAAAATGGAAAGCAGTTTCCAACGGAAGTAATCGTTACAGAATTTAATAGTGTGGCTTGATTGGAGAAGAATTTTAAGCCATGGGTTTTGGAGGGGATGAATGAGCAGGACAAGAAAGCTTAGAATGTGCTCTCTGACTTGGCTGCTATGCTGGCCTTTAAAGGTGGCATTGCTCCAGGAGCTGAACAGATTCTCTATGGCTCAGCAGTAAGGAGCCCCCAAGGTGCTTTTGACCACTGCAAATTAAAGAGCTGGAACTTAAGGCAACATGGAGAGAGTGTGTTATTTTACTGTTGTAGTGTGAATTTCACTTGCCTGAGTTACCACCCGTTATTCCTAGGAATTCTTAATGGTGACAGAAATCACCAGATCAGGAAGCCAGAAAAAAGACAAGAGAGTAAGGCAAGGCTCCTTGTGTTCTTGCGCATTTTTAGAAAACACTGGGCTTCTACACGGTGAACAGTTTTAATACTGTGAAGTGTAGCAGAAAAGGTTTTGCTTTACTGCTTATTGTAAAATATATGTCAATTGTGTTTTCTTCTCTGCACTGCACACTAACTGTGTCATTTAAAATATTTTAACAGGAAAAAATTAAAGATAAGCTACGCCCCATTCCAATATCAGTCAGCGTTAAAATTGCTGGCCTGGAGTCCAGCTCATCGTCCACAAGAAAAGAGAGCGCACTGCCGGATCTTATACCAATTCTAAATACAAATGAATCTGAGACAAAGACCACAAAAGTAAGTCTTTGATACCACATTTTCCCATAAATCTGCACTTCGATAAATCACTGAATTTTAAAGACTGTAGAAATATGTCAAAAGGAAATAACTGGGGTGATACTGGGCGTATATTTTATACTGGCTTATATTTTATATTTTCTTATGAACTTGTTACAAAATGTTATGAACTAGATCCTGTGGGTTTTTTGCAACAAAAGTGAAGATGGTATAGCTGCTAGGTAATTTTTTTTTCTCTCCTCAACAAGTTTAGGAGGAAATGTACTTTTGATTGAAAATGGAAATCACAGAACGGTAGGGTTGGAAGGGACCTTCAGAGCATCCAGTCCATCTCCCCTGTCAGAGCAGGTTCTCCTAGAGCAGGTTGCACAGGAATGCATCCAGGTGGGTTTTGAGTGTCTCCAGAGAAGGAGACTCCACACCCTCTTTGGGCAGCCTCTTCCAGTGCTCTGCCACCCTCAAAGTAAAAAAGTTTTTCCTCACGTTGAGACAGAATTTCCTGAGTTCCAGTTTGTGCCTGTTGCCCCTTGTCCTGTCACTGGGCACCACTGAAAAGAGTCTGGCCCCATCCTCTAAACACCCACCCTCTAGATATTTATAAGCATTGATGTGATTCCTTCTCAGTTTTTCTATTCTCCAGGCCAAACAGACCCAGGTCTCTCAGCCTTTCCTCGTAAGAGAGATGCTCCATTCCCTTGATCATCTTTGTAGCCCTTTGCTGGACTCTCTCCCTTAGTTCCTTGTCTTTCTTGAGCTGAGGAGCCCAGAACTGGACACAGTACTCCAGATGTGACCTTACTAGGGCAGAAAAGCGGGGAAGGATGACCTCCCTCCCCAGGACACCGTTGAACTTTTTGGCCACACGGGCACATTGCTGGCTCATTCATCGCCTCCTGCTGTGAACACTTGTCTCCACATCTGCATCACAAAATAATGTACAGTCTAATTCTTCTGTGATAGAATGCTCTAGCAGTGTTACAGCTGTGCAGCAGTCATGTAAAAGATCTCATTTCCTCAGTGCTCACTGAAGAATCAGACTTGAGGGTCCTGTTTTTCCTCATTAGAAGCATACATCTCACTCAGGAGTATCTAACTCGGCCTTTTACTCACATTTAATGTTCTATATTATCAGCATCAAAGACCATGTCTCACAAAGAAATACTCTTGACAGGCAAGAAGCAAGAGTCAGGTTAAAATCTTACTCTATTCAGGAAAGTCTCTCCTGTAGATGCTTTATGGGGTGCATATCAGAAATCTTGTTTTAAGCTGGTATTACATGACATGCAGTAAAAGTGCTTTGGTTTTATTTAGGTGGAGTTCTTAAAAGAAGGATGCGGAGAAGACAACGAATGCCACAGCAATCTGAAACTTCAGTACCGGTTTTGCACTAGAGAAGGAAATGAAGACAGGTTTACTTATTTACCGATGTAAGCCTTGATCAATGTATTGCTAAAAATCAAATTATTAACAGGTGCTTAAAAGAACTTCTAGGAGAGAGTTTTGGGAGGTGGAGCAGCTTTGTTCTGTTAGTCTGGCAAACACAGCCCTGTGCAGTAGTACTGATCTGTCAGGGTGAGGAAGGTGGGAGAACAGGAATGAGCTTTAGAAGAGGGATGGTACGGATTCCAGTTGGGTACAGAGTGGCCACAACTGTACAGGTGTGGGCTAAAAGTCAGGAAAAATGCTTCTAACCCCTGGAGAAGTGAGATTCTAAACCTTGCAGTAGTTTATTGTGTGTGCTACTGTTAACTATTTTTGAGATGAAATTTGATTGTGAGTTATGACAATGTGATATACTATAGTCTAGTAGCCTAAGGCAAACAGAGACACGAACAGAGAAATCATTTCACTGTTAACACACACTTAACACCCTGCTGCATCCCTCCTCCTAGATCAGTCTGTTATATCCTGCTAACTGCTGGCCGCTTTCAGAGATTAAATACTTGTCTGGGGAAAAAACCCTGTCATCATTCATGTGTTTATGGTCTTACAGTAATTCTTCCTAATAGAGGGAATTACATTTGGGTAAAGCATAGTAAGAAGCAAACTTTCATATATGTTTGTTTTCTGAATGCACACAATGCTGTATATACTCTGTTTCTGTAGTGAAAACGGCACCCCAGTGCTTGTTCTGAAAGATCAGAAAGATATTGCCCTGGAAATAACAATAACAAACAATCCATCTGATGCAAGAAATCCACAAAAAGATGGTGAAGATGCCTATGAAGCTAAACTAATTGCAACTTTTCCAGACAGCCTGACGTATTCTGCATTTAGGGAGATGAGGGCTTATCCTGTAAGTATTTTTAAGAAAAAAGATATTCAAATTTTTAAGTATTTTCTGCATATTTTTACTTATAAATGTATTCTGTTTCATCAGGAAAAACAGCTAACGTGTGGTGCTAACCAAAATGGTTCTCAAGCAGAGTGTGAACTTGGAAATCCTTTCAAAAGAAATTCCAATGTAAGTTGCACCTATTTTACTCAAGTTATAAAATCTGATTCCTGACTGCAGTCATTCAAAGTTTCTTTGTGTCATAACTGGAAATTTGATTTGGATCTGTCTTTTTAACTCTAGAACTTGATGGTGTATTTCTATAATACTGCATATATTCATATATTTTTATAAAAGGTTTACATATTCCATGGCTGTTCTTTCTTGTCTAGGTAACCTTTTATCTGATCTTAAGTACCACTAAAGTTAATGTTGATACAACAGACTTGGATATTAATCTGAAGTTGGAAACGTAAGTTTTCTTTGTGTGTGCATGCTCTGTTTTTATATACAGCTGTAAACATTTCAAATTAATTTGTTCAGTTCACAAAAGCAATTTAATAGTAAAGTGCAAACCACTAAATTTGTAAAATAAACGGCATTGTTTCCTTTTCATTGTAGAACAAGCACTCAAGTTAATTTGGCTCCAATTACAGCTAGTGCTAAAGTGGTTCTTGAATTGCTTTTATCGCTCACTGGGTAAGTGTTGATAAGGGTAACAGATCGAGGGGGCTGGGGATGACAGTTTTGCTGCAGACTTCATTGAAATCTAATTATTCTTCCTCACCTGAACAGAGTTGCTAAGCCTTCTCAGGTATATTTTGGAGGTAACATCATTGGTGAAAGTGCTATGAAATCTGAAGATCACATTGGAAACCTCATAGAGTATGAATTCAGAGTGAGTAATTTAAGATTAATGCCAACAGCTACTTTTAATCAAATGAATGGCTTCTCTTGTTACGCATATGAATACTTGGGAAAGTTGCTGGATTTAAAATTGGCTTTCCTTGCCAGTTTTCTTGGATTTTCTTCAAATCCTAACATGCGATCTGACTGCAGACTAGAGCTTCTTCAGGCCTTGATGTTTTACGATCATCTTTTGAGGATGTGGCCTGAGGCTGGCTGGACAGTGGTTTTTTTGGAGCAGTTCATGCACATTCAGTTGTACAGCACGAAACCCCGTGCAGGAAGGGGACAAAATTTAAACCCAGAACCCTGGCTGTGGCATGGCCAGGTGTCCAGTGCTGCAGGCAGACAGCGAGTATGGGCACTTACTGCAGGCACAAGAAGACACTGTGGGAGCCACTTGGAATGTGTGGGTCTATTTCACTCTTTTGGTCTGCTGTCTAGTTAATATATCAAGGAGAAGGCTAGGAGGGACAATGCTGGTTCTGTGAAATCTCGGTTTATCAGTAAGACTATTGCTTTTTCTACATCATTAATGCAGCCCTACTGACTTTGTACACAGTGGTTTGTCAGGATTAAAGTCCATCTCTGTCAATCCTTCCTTCCTCTACTTACTTACTCGCGTGTATTAAAGTAGAAGCAGTTAGAATATCTGTTTTGGAACTTGCTGTCATGAACAATAACGCTAAGAAAGCAAAAAACATGTTGGGAAACGACTTCCAGACTTAGGAGAGCAAGAGCTGGTTATCTTTCTGTGTCAAAGTTCCTCATAAAATTGCAATTTGCCTCAGTTCTGTAACTAATGATTTGTTAGCTCTAAATTGGGGTGGTTGTTGTTTCACAGGAATACAGATTTCTAAAAATCTACAGCTTAAAGTTCATGTTAGGGAATTTTAATCCTCATACATTTAAACTATTTACTTGCTACCCAGGTGTGCTAGTTTTAGTATATGCTTTGTCTTTATACTCCATTTTGACTGTCTTTCTTCTGCTTTTAAATTTTCTTTTCACTGCATACTTAAAACTTGCCCAAACCAGTAACACTTTCCATTGAGAAGAAAATATCTTTAAAAAGTATCTCACAGTTTAAAATGTTGATTTTAACAGGTAACTAACCTGGGCAGACCACTGAAAACATTCGGTACAGCTTCCCTGGACATCCAGTGGCCGAAAGAAATTAGTAATGGCAAATGGCTGCTTTATTTGATGAAAATAGATTCCAAAGGCTTGGAAAAAGTCTCCTGTCAGCCCGAGAGTGAAATCAACAGTTTGCATGTTGCGGTACGTTACCCTGTCTTCTGTTCATTGATGAGTACAACATGGAAGCACTCAGCATGTGACAGCAGGGCATAAGAGCTTGCCTGCAGAAGGATTTTTACTGTTCTGAGCACGATACATGAACAACACATCAAGGCTTAAGCTTATTAAGAGACTTTGTAATCGTTAATGTGCGCACCGTAACGTGGTAAAGGACAGATGCTATGTCACGGTGACTGTTCTTGCAATGGGCGCTGTTGTCATATGCTCTTACAGGACGAAATTGCTGCTTGCTTTAATGAATTTCATCAGCATTATTGAAATCTGATCAAGTTCTGACACAGAAAACAATATACAACAGTAAGCATCTCCCCAGCCTGGGAGATTTTTTAAAGAGAAAGGACTTACACTTAAATTTACTTCTTTACAACAAAGGTGATAAAAAATAATTTCTCAGGCAAGTTTCATAGCACTTCACTGTGCCTATCTGGCAAGATTATTTTCCTAAAACCCAAGCCTTCTTTTTCATTTTTTTTTTCATATAATCTTAAGATATTTAGGAGGAGTTTTAATTTTCACCATTAAAACTGCATGCACCCATTCTTGTCAGATCACCACATCAGTTAATGAAACCTTCAGTGAGTACACTTAGTACACAGTTTAAAAAAAAATAAATGCTTCTACTGACCATAGCACAATCTTACTCTTTTAGTGTAATAACATTAATACCCTTTATATAGAACAGAGATGGAAATAGCATTGAAAGCTTTATAAATGTAACCCTCTCTTGACCTATTAAAGAAAGCAGTGAGTTGACCTCTCTTTCAGTAATCTCAAAGTAATTGTTCTGACTCTACTATTAACAATAAATGTAGGTAAGTAGGGATACACAATGATGTCATTCATGCTGATCTTGGAACAAGAAAGCACTCACTGAACTCATTTCTCTGCTTATATGGGATCAGAATTAAGAGATACTTAGGATGAACTACTAAAACTCTTCTTTTTGTTTTTTAATTTCTTTCTGCTTTTAGGAATCCCATAACTCAAGAAGGAAACGTGAGGTTGCAGAGAAGCAGATTACAGACAGCAAAGCCTTTTCTTTATTCTCAGAAAGGAAATACATGACCTTGGTAAGCATATTGCACCAACTTGTCTTGTCAGAGACCTTGCCCTGCACTCATAACGGGCTTTTCTGAGTTTGGCGGGGTGAAAGAAGGTATCTCTTTGCTTTGTTTTTATCTTAAATCCAAGTGATCAATGCTTTTAAAATTTGACCATTTAGATTATTTTCTGATGAGAGAGAAATAGGAAGTTATTCCTGTGTAGTTACTACATTAAAATAAAAGAGGCAATAGCATCTTCATTGTATTTTCTACTGCATATAATCCAATTTTTAATCTTGGGGGGGAGAGTGTTTAAACAATTTGTGAGGATGTGTTTTTATTTACATGCAGAAATGTGTAATTGCAGGACTGCAATGTGAACGCACGCTGCGTGGACATTAAATGTCCCCTGAAAGGTTTAGACAGCAAAGCATCTATTGTGCTGCGGTCCAGGCTGTGGAACAGCACTTTCTTAGAAGTAAGTCCTCTTACCTGACATTTTTGAAAGCTCAAAGTTCTTTCCTTTTCTTTGTCTAATGTCCATATTTTATTTTGGAACAGGAATACTCCAAAATGAACTACCTGGACATTGTTGTCAGGGCTTCGGTCAGTGTTCCTGCTGCAGCTAAGAACGTTAAACTCACAAATGAAGCTGCTCAGGTAGGTTCAACATTTAATGCCAACCATATGTGATGGTTGTGATGTTTCCAGCTAATTTGAAAGAATGGAAGAAAACCCCATCATTTTACAACAAAATTAGCTAAAAGTTTAGCTTTTTAACTGAGTTTTGAATTAGTGATTGTTTTTACTTGTTAACGGGGTTGGAAAAATCCACTACCATATTGAAATGATATCAGTAGGAACTTTTTCTTCAAAAATGTTTTGTAGCTGAGAGATCAGTCATCTTGTTAGAGAACAGATGACTGTAACTTGCAGCTTTATATTCAACATGGATGTTGCTGAAATGCTCTTTCCATCTCCACATATTTTCTCTCCTTTAGGTGCGTGTTACTGTCTTTCCTGCAAAACCAGTTGCACTTTATACAGGAGTACCTTGGTGGATCATCGCAGTGGCTATTTTTGCTGGAGTACTGATGCTCGCACTGTTGGTATTCTTACTATGGAAGGTGAGTTTTTACTCATTTGGTTATTTTACATTTCCTAGTCTACAACTGACAGGACAGCAAACTACTTAAGTATTTTGGTTTGTATTTGGGACTCAAAATAGAACAAAACTGCCCAAACCATACATTACCATTATCAGTTTCTCAGTTTTGCAACATTTGGAAGGAAAACAGTTACATGGGAAGACTTGTTATAATTTTTTTCTTTTTCCACATCCTCAAAAGGAAGTATTTTGAGCTCTGGGAAAACACGAGACAACTATTCAGAGCCCATAGTTACTTTGACAGCTAATTAGAGCTTTTGCAGTTAGGTAGTTCACATGAAGTTCTACACCTACAAATGTTTTAGCAGGGTTTTGTTCTCCTAACATTAGAAGTAGCATTAAACTGACAGCAGATGAAAATAACCAAAAGGGACAGAAATGATACATAGCCAAGTGTGTTGGTGAACTTCTGTAGTACTGGCTTTTCATCTCAGAAACCCTAAAGGAGTAAATAAGTGTGTATAACAAAAGGTTAACAATTTCCAAAAGAAAAAAAAAATCAAGTACCTATTTTTCTAACTACCTTTTGGCATTTTTACAACTCATTGTGGTTCCAAGTATAACAGGGCAGTCCTTTTATACTTAGTTTTTACAGGCATAGGCAGTTAGTATTTGCTGTTAGGGGAGAGCAGAAGGTTAATAAGAAAGAAGAGGTGAAGAATATCCTGTCTGTTGCTTTCTTCTGGAGAAACTGCAGTGATTGGCTTTGCTGAGGAGCTACTGTTTGCTGCAGGTTGCTTCCCACAGGATAGTTCTGATTCCCCTGTGTTCCAATAAATGTCCAGGCCCTGCTGCAAAATTTCCTGATGAATTAATACTTTGGGTGGGCTGTTGGATTGTGATCACTAGTGTTTCACTGTATGTGAAAATACACTCATTTTCACACAGGCATGCACAGGGTAAAATGCTGCTTTTGATGACAAATGCTGTGCCATCTTACGAAGAACAAACATGGTACTTCAAGGAAAGTTACATGATTGGTTTAAGACAAACGCTTGTGTTGTACAGGTCAAAGCAGCAAAGCAGTACTGGATTTTGTTATACCCTATGTTTTTGTCTGTCCTGTCCGTGAGTCCACAAGCAGGTTTCTGTGTAGACTTTTTTCTGTTCTTGGCAGCCAGCTTTAGTTGCTACGGACACACTTTTTTGTCTAAGAAAAGTGTTTCTAAAAAACAACCCACAAAACTCCAAAGCAATGGATGCATTACAAATTTATCAAAATGCCTCTAAAATAATATTCCTTACCTCAGGTAATTCTGTTATTTTACAGATCGAGTTAGTCCAAGAAGTTTTCAGATCTAGAAACAGCAGAATTGTGATTTTTTTTCTTTTTTTTTTTTGGCCTGTGAAGGGAGAATGGGAAGATAGTTCAGTAATTTATGTCAGTTTTCATAGGTTTGACTTCTTCCAGTCCACAAAAATTGACTAAATACCTTGCTTCCTTGTAGTGTGGTTTCTTCAAGAGAAATAAGAAAGATCATTACGATGCCACATATCACAAGGCTGAGATCCATGCTCAGCCATCTGATAAAGAGAGGCTTACTTCTGATGCATAGTATTGATCTACTTCTGTAATTGGTAATTGATGATATTTTTTAATTTTTAGCTGTGGCACATGCTCTGGTTGCGGTGGCTAACTGTGAAGCTTTTACTGCACAAGTTCTATTAACTTTTGGATTTCAAACTATCGTACTTGCTTGCTTGTTCTGTTGATAGGTTTTCAGCTTTTGGTGCACGGAAACAAACACAAGTGTTTATTTCTTTAGAAAACATCTTGATCTGTTGCAATGTTTTTTAAGTCTTTTTTTATTTATGTTTTAACAGTACAAGGAAGTTTTTTTTTTAAGCCTGGGAGATGGTAATCAACATTGCAGAGTTAAGATTTACAGCAAAGACTATGTGGGCAATGAAAAAAAAATTGCTTTACTAACCTTTAGTGCATGCTAAAAGATACATGTTGCTTATAATGAAAGGTATTTTCATAATGCGGATTTAATTGCTGTGGAAACATCTGTTTTGCTTCAATTCTAAGGTACATTTTTCTAGGAACACTATCCTCTGCTGAAGCTACTAGATGCATGATGATTTACGCTTCTAGCAACCCTTATTCAACTTCAGATGTAACATGCATGTACACGATACTAAGCAATGCTTGGGATTGGGGTGGGGAGGAATTCTTAACTCAAATATGTCAAAACAATGCTTAATGAAATCTTAACTAAGAGATGGCTAAAGATTTGGTCTATGTCTGGATGTAATTTTTTTAAAAATTCAATTCTATGTAAGTTATAATCTTATTAATTTTTTTAAAAAAACCCAAACAAAAAAAACACAACCACTACCCCAAATACTATGAACAAAATCTTGCCACTTTAATCTTTTTTTATTCCTAGCAGTATCTAATGACAGCTGGATGGCACAACGTCTCTCAGCCTTAATCTTGACATCAGTGACTCATAAGCTTGTAAAGTTGAGTGTTTACCAGTCAGCATCCTTGTAACACTGTGGCCGTAACTCAATTTTCTTTTGAAAATTAATTTCAGTTCATTCCTCAATAGTTAAAATTAGTTTTTACAGTGTCTTTGAATAAAAAAAAATAATAAAATTGCAGGGCATAAATAAGCTGTACTAGATTTCATCTAGGGAGAGTTGTGTCATGGCACACCACAAAATGTTCAAGTTATGTCTTTTTTAAGCTATAGCAAAACTCATGTTCTAATACTGCATACATGGAATTAGTTCAGGTGACTGGAGTTGGGACAGTGCTTTGAAAAACAAGGCCTTAGTGTAACTTTTCCTGAAGGCCCTGGAAGTCCTTCTGATTTACCTTCTTAAAGGTAAATCATGTCACCCTACAGGAAGATACTGAAGTACTGACCTACCTTTGCTTGAGGAGAAGTAAGCTCTCCTGAACTATCTGTTTCTTTGTGTAGCATTAAATTATCTCATTATATGAATGAATAGCTTTATAAGAAGGACTCACAAGACTTGTAAAACAAATTTAGAAGGTTAGTGGATGGGATGTTTTTAATTTATTAGATTACTGGATTGTCAGACTATGCCATTTGTCTTCAGCTGCTGTTGGAACAACTAACATAGAGCTGTTGGCACACGTTTTTTACAGCTACACACGCTACACTTTTGGCTTACATATTTTTGTTGTCAATTTTCTTACCTGTATGTCTGTGCAAAGGAAGAACTTAATCCTAAACTGTCCTTTTTCTTCTCTGCCCCAGTGCGGGTTCTTCCAGCGCTCCAGGTACGAAGACAGTGTCCCCCGATACCATGCTGTAAGAATTCGAAAAGAAGAGCGACAGATCAAAGATGGGCAATGCAAGGACCTTGACACAAAACAGTGGTTCACAAAATGGAATGAAAATGAAAGTTATTCTTAGGGACAAAAAAAATTCATCCACAAAGTTCAGATAGAGGTTAATTGTTTTCATTAATGGAATATTGATGGAGTTAGACCTACAAACACTAAGGACATTCACCATTTGAGTGTAGATATTACTACTTATATTGAGGCTTTTGTTTGCACAGTTAAAATTGCTTCAGCAGACTTTATTTGCTTTATTTAATTTCCAGGCTGCCTCTTTTCCCCTTCAAATCTAACTCACCCTTTAGAAGACACTGTGTTGATTTTGGGTCTTTTCTGCAAAATATGCAGAACTACTATGGTGGACCTTTTCTTGTGATTCTAACCTTCTTAGGTATGCAAGGAATGCATGGTTGAGGGAAAGACGAGTTCTCCATCCTTCCCTCAATGCATAGTCAATCATTATAAACACAGGGTGGCCTTAACACACTTTGTTCAAATATAATCTGAAGACCTGCAAATCTTCTTTAGTCATAAACTTTGCCTGCTGCAGTAGTTAGGGCTTAATAAAAAGCATCATCTTAAATTACATGTGCAATAGGTCATGTTGCTCCATGATTTTTTTTTTAAGATCAGATTGTGATTCTTGCTCACAAAAATATACACAGTTTTTTTTTTTTAAAGAGAGGCTTGACTGTTAGATGTACTTTTTGTATATATATATATTTTAGTCATTTTTGTATTTATTTTTGTTATAAATCATGTCTTTGAGTCAAACTGTTAGGCCAAAGACTTAACTGAACCTTCAAATCCACTGTGTTTTTGAACTTCAGATTACAAGACCTGAGACTTTTACTGCATTGTAATACATCACTGAAGGTGCCAATGCTTTCTAAAATTGTAAATATTTATTCCAGTAATGTGTACGGGGGCTTTTCTTCCTGATACTTGTAACTTTATGTACTAGGAATTATCGGGTCTTGTAACATGGTTTGTATATTACTTCAGACTATTTTATGATTTGGACACCAAGCAGAAGTAGCGTTTTTAGATCCAATTTTATACTTACTGCAAGAAAGTGAGAGGTTCTCTGGAAACAGCTTTCCAGCTTTGTGAAGACTTCCTGTTTGGCAAAAGGCATTGACTACTGCAACCGTTACTCAGCACTTGAAGGAGGCTGTAAATGCCTGACTTACCTTAACTACGGGGATCTGAGCTGATCCACGTTGAGACTACTGAATCGTCTTGAATACCTGAATGTTGATAAAAGTAAAACCACAATGTTATGTTTATCAGTAATTTAGTTATTGTAATGTAACTGATGAGACTATTTAAAGAGTTTATTTTTTACCCATGTTCTAAAGTGTTGGTACTATTTAAGAACGAATATTTAGTTCACAATTGTTTGTTCCATGTGAAACAAAATTCTGCTCAAAAAGTGTGCAGGTTAATTGCTAGTAATTTGAACTATGCAAAAACCTCTTGGTACTTTTTCCCCTCGTAGGGTAAAAACCTGCTAGGAGGGCAGTTGTCAAGTGTCTTATTTTTACTACTAACTTTGAACATACCTTCTTGGAAGGTGTGATCACCTAAAAATTTATCATCAGAGAAAGTGCATTAATTTACTAGACTCTTCTTCTTCCCACTAAATAATCTCAGTACATTGTGACCCTGATTTTATGAACGCTTACACATGTATTTAGCTGTTCCCCGGTTTTTGAGCTTTTAAAATTCTGGCTTATTTGCCAAAAGGCTCAGCAGCACCAGAAGCCAGGCTAATCAGGGGCTAAGAAGCTTGACCGATAGCCTTAGATTTAGAAGCAGATTGTGGCCCTCGCCTAAGAACATGAATGTCTTACCCGTGTTAAACTGAAAGGTCTTGAAAAATGAGTCATGTCACTGGTATACTTTTATCTCAAACTTTTTTATACCAGCTAGCAGTGCTACGTCATTCCATGATTAGAAATTGCCTGTGGATACTTGTATAGAAGTGTGAAATAAATTTTTTTTTTAAATTAAACATTGTTTTGGTAATAGTGATTTCTTACCATAATTAACTGAGGTAGCTATAGCTAAGTTCACTAGTAGAGCAAGCTGGAAGCTTTTAACAAATTGCCTCATTCCCAGTATGGCCATAACTCTGTGCCCTCCGTATGCAAAGGCAGTGGCAGGAGATAACACACAGTCTCCCCCTCACAGCTTCAACTCCACAGAAAAAAAACAGAAAAGCCAAAAGAATGCAGGGAAAAAAAAACCAACCAACACCACCACACCAAAAAACCCCAGATAAAAACCTCTAATTCATCTCCATTTTTAAGATGTTAACCCTCACAGGCTGCTTTGCTTTTGATGCTACAAGGGTGAGGAGGAGACCTGCTGGGCCAGCGTGTGTTGCTGCAGCCAAGAAACTGCCGGGACTAGAACCAGAAGGTGCTGCTCGGTCTTTAAGAGCATGTCAAAGATGCGGACTCAGTCTACTTTTATTAAACAATTACTCTTATTTACATAACTAAACCCACAAACATTTGCCCACAAGAAGACGAAATACGGACTGGGAGAGCAGTTAAGTAGCTGATCATAAGAAATACGGTACAAATATATTGGGTTTTATATATGCTTGTATATACTAAACCCATACAGTACTAGATACAGTAGTATATACTATATACACTGTAGTATAGTACATAATAGTCTACGTGCATAGTATATATGCATATAGACACGGATACAGAAAACCTAGTATACTATACTTGCTCTCTGTATGTATACGTATTGTGTGTGTGTGTATATATATATATATGTATAGAATATACACACACTCTATATAAGCCTAACGTCCATGAACCAACTGCTGGTAAACTGCAATACCATCACACACGCTTAACTGTCACAGCACAGGAGACACACCTTAGGAGAGAGGCTTTCACTATAAGGGACCATCGCAGCATCGTTTCAACCACCACCTGTGGAGAAGCTGCACGTGGAAGACGAGGTGGGACAGGGTGCTGAGATGCAAGGGTCAGGACTCGGCGCATGAGGTGAAGGGAAGCTTTTGAAGGCAGCACTGAAACTCCGCTCCCTGTTCAGAGCCCCCAGGCTGTAACGCCAACCCTCACCACAGCAGCAGCTCTCAACCAAAAATAGACAGGCTACAAGGAAACAGGATTACGTACAAACAACTGAAATAAATAAACTCTCCCAGCACAGAGTAGGTGAGAGTATCAGCAGTTGGTTTGCAAAACACAGGAGAACAAACTGTGATGAAACAACCAGGCATCTGCACCCCGTGCTCTGGGCCTGGAGAGGCACATGGACAGGCTTTGGTTGCCTTTGCCAGGCAACACACCCACGTGTGACAACAAGCACGGGAGCCAGATATTTCCCTACAGTAGCTGCGTGAGCAGTTGCTTCAGTTTTTATCCCAGCCCTCAGCCATCTTTCTATGTCCATTTGTCCTCCCAGGGCCTGGATTTGTAATTAATAATCGTATACTGATTTTGTAAGCCTTGCTAAAGTCCTAACCGTGAGCCTCGTGAGAAAAAGACAGCAACTCCTTACCCTGAGAGAGCACCATGGAAATCAGCCTTCGTCTCCAGCCAGGGGCTGATACTGTCCCTGCACAGGGGTGGGGGAGCCACAGTTCGCATCTTCCATACTGGAAGACAGACCCCTTTCCCCCTTCATTTTGTAGCTCTGCAAAATGGTTGTTCACAACCAGCACCTTTTCAGGGCTGTACCTGCCTCAAAGATCCCAGCAGTCAGAGAACCGAGTTTTTAACAAGCAGAGGTGGCCTTGCTGTGGGATGGTGCTCGGCTTCTTGTGGAGGGGACCAACAGTTCACATTTCAGAGCTGAGCAGCGTACCGTTGCCAGCCAGCTTAGGAGACAGCCTGTGGCTGACTGCACCCCCAACAACAGCCACTAGTTCAACAGAATTTTGCTGTTCCTGCTCCCACCAAAAGTTAGCGCTCAGCTTCAGTAGCTACCTAGTATAGTTACCCTATGGATGAAAAAGCTGTCCATGATAAACCATAAACTTTTTCCAACTGCCTTCTGATCTTGAGTCACAAAGTTGTACGTGACAAAAATTCACAAACTCTGAACTTTAATTATAGACTGGATACAAATAACCCATCTGCATGCTCTTCTTGAATCTACTACAATTGGATAACACACAGAAGCCACATATTTTTTACCAGCTTTGTTGCCATTTTTATATCTTTTTATTTCTACTCCTGCAAAATGAAAACAAAGCCGCATCAAACAAATGTAACCCTAAGAATTTTCTAACATAACTGTGTTGGTTTTGGCTAGGATAGAGTGAATTTTCATCAGAGTGGCTGGTACGGGGCTATGTTTTGGATTTGCACTGAAAACAGTGTTGATAATGCAGAGATGTTTTTGTTATTGCTGAGCAGCACTTACACAGAGGCAAGGGCTTTCATGCTCCTCGGCCAGCGAGGGGGCTGGGGGTGCACAAGGAGCTGGGAGGGGACACAGCCAGGACAGCTGACCCCAGAGTGATTCCCTGCCACGTGATGCTACGCTCAGCACGTGAAGCTGAGGAGGAAGAGGGGGACATTAAGAATTATGGTGTTTGTCTTCCCAGGTAACACTACCTGTGAAGGAGCCCTGCTGGCCTGGGGATGGCTGAACACCTGCCTGACCACGGGAAGCAACAAATGAAACCCCTGTTTTGCTTTGTTTGCGTGCACGGCTTTTGCTCTACCTATTAAACTGTCTTTATCTCAGTCCACAAGCTTTCTCACTTTTACCCTTCCAGTTCTCTCCCCCATCCCACCGGGGGGGAGTGAGCGAGCGACTGGGTGATGTTGAGTTGCCGGCTGAGGTTAAACCACGGCAACAGCAAAAAAGGGGCTGAACTTACTGACAAAAGCCTCAGAACAACGACAAGCCTTTGTGCAGAGCAAGCACACAAGCTGAAGAGACATGGATACATGGACCAGATGACTGGGCAGGCATTATAGCAAAGCATGTCAAACACTGAAAGAAAAGAGAGATTCTACGGATATCTGTACCCGGCAACTTAAAGTTTTTTTTCTTAATCTATAATGCACCTATTTTGGAAGAAAGGGAGGAAAAGAACAAAACCACCAGTACACTCAGCAACCAAGAACGGCAACTTCCAGTAAAGGTAATACTATAAATAAACCCTAACAAACCAAGAAGTCTTTCTATGGAACACCCTGCAAGAACGCTACGCTCCCAATTATCTTATTAAACCTTAAACTGAAAATAATAATGAAAATGCTTAGGTTAAAACTAAATGATATGTTTTCAATTATCTTGATGTCTGATTTGTTCTGTCCCATTTAAATTATGGATCCAGATGTATTATAATTTCAGGAACACCAATAAGCAGGAATATGAGTACAAAAGTGCCAAATGACAAAAATAATACGTTTCTCCTTTTTGGTTTGCATAAGAATTTACAGACATTGGTGCCTCAGAACTCCAGCTAGTGTCACACTGGCTCAGATCAGAGTAAGCCCCCAGAAGATCACCAGTGAGAGAAACAGGTTTTTAAAAGGGATGGGGGCGTGGAGGGGAGAAGAGAGAAAGAGACTTCAAAATATTCTCCAATGTTCTACTGATCCATGTAAACATGTTCTGTCATCTGATCAGTAGTTTAAACAAGACCAAGAAAATGTGTTTAGGTAAACAGAGAGGGTTTGTTCTGCTCTGAACACAGCATTTAAAGAATTATCCACAATTCTTTATCTACAGTGACTTCTGTGACTGCTCATCCTGCATGATTTTCCCTGAGAAAAGTGCTCACTGTTTACATCACTGAGAACGGGCTCTAGCTTACAAATTGCAATGATTTACTTAGCCTCTGACAGCCTTTGCCACATTTTCTGGCTGGGGACTGCTGTCCAAAGATAACTTTAGGCAGTAGGCCAGCCTTTACGGCATGCCTGGAAGCTGAAACATCAGGCATCAAGACAGTAACATACAGGCATAAAAGATGAAGCCAATCCAGACCCATCATAAGAAACGGCAACAACTTAACAAAAACCCAACGTACTGCTTGCAGGCACTGCTTTAAACTCGTACAACTGAGAGGCCACTATAAATGGGCTTTAGGCACAGCAATTCATAAGCAGGAACTATTACAAACTTGAGCAGCGTGAGTTACTATTTGGAGCTTCTAGGGGATGTCTCCAAGCAGTGACAAAACAAAACCTGCCAGCAACCTGGCTCTGTACATTAGGGAGTTGTTTGACTGTACAGAGATAGACTCCAGTGACGATGAAGTTGAGTGTTTATGGGTAAGGGTGAAAGGGAAGGCTAACAAAGGTGATTTTGTGCTGGGAGCCTGCTATAGACCACCCAACCAGGATGAGCAGGTTGATGAGGTGTTCTATAAGCGGCTGGCTGCAGTCTCACAAACGCCAGCCCTTGTTCTAGTTGGGGACTTCAACTTACCAGACATCTGCTGGGAATATAACACAGCAGAGAGCAGGCAGGCTAGAAGGTTCCTCGAGTGTATGGAGGATAACTTCCTGACACAAACGGTAGGTGAGCCTACCAGGGGAGGTGCCTTGTTAGACCTACTGTTCACAAAGAAGGGCTAGTGGGGGACTTGGAGGTCGGAGGCCATCTTGGGCTTAGTGACTATGAAATGGTTAAGTTTTCCATTCTTAGTGAGGTAAGGAAGGGGGTTAACAAAACCTCCACCTTAGACTTCCAGCGGGCAGCCTTTAGCCTGTTCAAAACCCTGGTTGGAAGAGTATCGTGGGAAGTACTCCTGAGAGACAAAAGAGTCCAGGAAGGCTGGACGCTCTTCAAGAGGGAAATCCTAAAGGCCCAGGAGCAGGCTGTCCCCATGAAGCGCAAAATTAAAGGCCGGGGAAAATGGCCAGCCTGGATGAACAAAGAGCTCTTGATGGGACTAAAGGAAAAAAGGAAGGTTTACCACCTTTGGAAGAGGGGACAGGCAACTCAGGAGGAGTACAGAGATCTTGTTAGGACATATAGAGAAAAAAATCAGGAAGGCAAAAGCCCAGCTGGAACTCAACCTGGCGACTAATATAAGGGACAATAAAAAAAGTTTCTATAAATACATTACCAAAAAGAGAGTCACAGAGAATGTGACTGAGCATCCCTTACTGGATGCGGGGGGAAACCTTGCAACCAAGGATGAGGAGAAGGCTGAGATACTTTCTTTGCCTCTGTCTTTAATAATCAGACCAGCTACTCCCAGGATATTCAGCTTCTTGGGCTGGAAGATAAGAATGGTTCTCAGGGAGCTGGCAGGAGAGCTCACCAAGCCTCTCTCCATTATCTATCAACAATCGTGGTCAACCGGAGAAGTGCCAGATGACTGGAGGGTGGCCAATGTGACGCCCATCTACAAGAAGGGCCGGAGGGATGATCCCGGAAACTACAGGCCTGTCAGCCTGACCTCGGTACCAGGAAAGATCATGGAGAGGATCATCCTGAGTGAGCTCTTAAGGCAAGTGCAGGGCAGCCAAGGGATCAGGGCCAGCCAGCATTGGTTTATTAAAGGGAGGTCCTGCCTAACCAACTTGATCTCTTTCTATGATCATGTGACCCGCTTTCTCGATGAGAGGAAGGCTGTGGACATTGTCTACCTACACTTTGGTAAGGACTTTGACACCGTTCCCCACAGTGTTCTCCTGGAGAAACTAGAGAATCCTGGCATAGACAAGTGTACCCTCCGCTGGATAAAAAACTGGCTGGATGGCCGTACCCAGCGAGTTGTGATTAATGGAGTAAAATCTGGTTGGCAGCCAGTCACCAGTGGTGTCCCTCAGGGCTCAGTTTTGGGGCCAGTCTTGTTCAATATCTTTATTGATGATCTAGACAAGGGGATTGAATGCACCCTCAGTAAGTTTGCAGATGACACCAAACTAGGTGGGAGTGTTGATCTGCTTGAGGGTCGGAAGGCT